CTAGAAAACACACCGCCCCAGGTCAGTCACCTTGCTGCAGTCGGCACAATCCCATGCACGCAGTGATTACCAGTGCATACACCCACTTATGCTGTGGTCAGACACACATACACACACTTGTGCATTCATTTAACCCAGACTTGCACCACCAGTACCACACAGCCTACCATAACATAATACCTACACTACCTTTATCATATTATGAATAAAAATAATAAAATATTTTCTCTGAACATATTAAAAATAATGGTGATGTGAGCATTACATTCATCTAAAATTAAAGACATAACTTCTGAGCAAAATATAATGAACATATATACCCATTTGTGCTGTGATACCTATCTATCAAAAGCTGAGCAGTCAAGCAGATCTTTAAAAATGTACATCAATGGATCCTAATCAATGGGTCAAACATCATAAACTACATATGAAAGCACATTGGATTAGCAGTGCTATAAAGTGCTATACAAGATAAATAAGAATTTAAAATCTAAAATTGCATAACAGCCTAACTTAATAATCTTCAAATAATATAACATAAATATTAAATAAATCCTGAGCCTTTCTATTCTTGTGTACTTGAAGAAATCAGTACAATAAAACAAAACACTACAAATATTGGGGAACATCACATGAACAACAATGATGGTGCATCTCTCTCTTACTAAAAGGGTGCTTTACAGTGTTTGGCCAATAAAACCCTCAATGATCAAGACATCTATCAGGAATACCATTGACCCGTGATCTCGTATGTTCCCGGGTGCAATCCTAACCTATCCCCAGGATTTAAATGTGGTTCCTGGCATATGGTGCAGTGGTTGGTAGGCCTTGCTAGTGGTGGCTGGTGGTGGGTTGTCTCAGGGTGGTTTCAAGCCTTGCTCACTCAGGGACAGATACAGCTGGTTTTGTACAGCAGAGGGAATAGGAATTACAGGAAAGGAAGGGTTGGCCACACTTGATAGGCCCAGTTTTGATAGAAATAATAAGAAGTAATGAGTAACTGATTCCAAGGAGATGAAAAGGTAGAATGTATCCTCAATAGAGCAAGAGAGAGAGAAAGAGGACAAAGGGGTATGGTCCAGGAAAGAAAATGATTTAGGATAAAGCTGGAACTAAGGTTTAAGGCACAGAATAAAAGCATGTATAAAAGGAATAATAGAACAAAACCATGTATAAAAAGTAGTCAGGAGAAAGTTTCAGTTGAGCTTAAGAAATGTGGAAACAAGATTAAAAGTATAGTCTTATAAAAGGGTATATACGTAATTATGCTGATAAAGAAGAATCAGTTCACAAGATTCTCTTTTTACTTTTTCAGAAAATTAATATAATATCTTCAAAACTTAAAGAGAAACAAGTCTCAGTTTGTCTTTTTTGTAATAGTCAAAATATAAATAAAAACTAGAAGCTCTACTTTCTCAGGCTAAAAACAATAGTACTCTACTGTTATAGAAATTACTTCATGGATTAACACAGATGGCCTTAAAAGTTGCAGCGTTGCAACGTCCATTTTTCATGGAAATACTTGAAGTGAAAAATCATCAATTAAACATTTATTTAAGTGAAGACTCTATTTCTTATTTGTTATAATATGAATGAGACTTTATAAGACTCTTAGAGAATATGCAACAAGTCACTGCAAGGCTTCAGCCACACGAGAAAGAAGCAATAATTGTCATATGATGTACATTTTATATTTTCCGTTTAAGATTACTTTTAACTTCATGAATAACTGATGTACAGTACAATGAAATTTACAAGAATCCTCTCTCAATATTTAAAAAAAGTATATTTTTTACGCATTTAACAATGTGTCAAACCTTTAATGAACAAGATATTGACAAACTCTACCTAAAACTCAAGTCTTTAACATAAAGCACACTGGAATAACTACATGAACCTATAGTGCTAAGATGATAAATGAACATGAATACTATGGTTGGCTCTGGTTCAAACTACTGTAATATGTGAGAGAAAACGACAATAATCAATACCATTTACTTTAATATTAGGAGGTACTGTATAAAATAGAAAAAGAGCCTAATTCCAATTAGAAATATGAACAATAGGCCAAAAATTTACATCAGTATCAGCCTATTTTCCAAATCAAAGAAGAATGATAAAATACTAACTAATAGTAAAACTAAATGTATCCATGTTGATTACTACAGTACAGTATACCAACATTTTAATTCTACTGAAAAAGTACAGTATAGCTTTTTTTTACAGTAAAGTCACTGAAGTATCAACATTTTAAAGGTACTTCACTTAACAAATCCTAGATTACTAATGAGTAATATCCATGTGTTCACTTCGTGGTTAGAAATACAAATTATCTATTGTATTTATAAAAATACAGTAGGTAAAATGCTACACAAAGATCCACCTGAAGACATCAACTCTATGTTGCAAATTAATCTCTAGTTACAAAATGTGTGCAGAATTAGAGACCTGACGGTCCAAATGACTGCACTGCACTGCACTGCACTGCACTGCACACAATAGTTCAGCTGCATGAGCTTCAAAATGTACCAGTACATCAAAATCCTATGAACTATTTTTCTTGACGAGACTAACCTACCATTCCTGATGTCAAATTTCATATCTTCTCTGAGTTTCTGAGAATTAGTTAAAGTTGACAGAAATAAATTACTATGCATTAGCAATATTCCAAGGCAATGCCTAAACCAGCTCATATGGATATAAACAAACAGAGACTGTGTCAAAGTTTCTCTCGAAAATGGCATGCAAATGATATGGTATAAGTTCAATAACAATAACAGCAAATTCTATTACTTTTTAAATAAAAGGAGAAAAGGCTTTGAAAATTTTGGGTGCATATTTAAACTAAACTACTGTACTGTACTGTATTTGTAAAAGTAAAGAATTTTTAAAATAGGGTTTTTCCATACTTCATATCATCAATGATTGAAGTAGAGTTAACCAATTACTTATCATTTCATAAAACAATTTAAACACAGAGCCTAAATTTCCCATGATAGTTCTCTATCATTTACTGTAACGTATTAAATTTCAAATTTTTGGATGTGTTAACTCTTGATGTATGAGTGCTCTCTATATTATGTGTCATATACAGGTTGAACCTCGATTTAATAGCACTGGATTTGCAGGCAACTCTCACTTAACAGCAAAATTTAGAGATTGTGATTTTTTGACAGGCCCGCCTGTAATTTCCACAGCAGTTATTCTACCTGTTGCAGTGCCCCCGCTGCTCTACAGTCGGTTTGTTTTGGCATTGAAGTCCAGCCAGTGCTGTGCTCATGTAATCACCTTGAATTTCTACTTACTTTGCATCAATTAAGGCCTCTACGGGAGCCAAAAACCCTCCCGGAGTTGCTGGTGACCCAAAGAAGACAAGTTTCCCTGAACATTGTGCAAAAGGTTGAAATATTACAGAAACTAGACCGTGGAGTGTCTGTTCATCAACTTTGGGAAATCTATGGTGTAGGTTCCTCAACAATTTATGATTTAAAGAAGCATTTGTGGACAGTGACGCAAAAAAGGAAATGGAAAAGCGTAAGCAAATGAGATCAGGAAAACACAAAGATTGTGCTCGATGCAATGGTTTTGTCAGCAATACCCTCTCCCCTTATACAGTAAAACCTAGCTAAGACGGGATTAATTGGAGGGAAGGGTTGTTCATGATAAGAGTATGTCCACCTTAAAGTAATTTCTCATAAAAACACCGCCATTTTAAACAAAAAACTAGTACAACACTAAAGTATCCAATTTTTATGAAAGAAATACATGTTTTTTAATCACAATTAAATTTTAAAAAGTAATGTACACAAAATACTGTACATTTGTGCCATTTGATTGCTGGACAACGAATTTTGTCGATATGATTCAATACTCAAGTTTCACTACAGATGGGAGATGTCTCAGAACAGCTGACGTCCCTCACTCCTCCCTCCTCCTTCCTCTTAACACACATACAAAGTTTTCCCATTTATATTTTTGACCTTATGATAATTATTTATCTTATCTTGTTTGTAAATTCTGTATGTAAGATTGAGAGTGCAAAAAAAAAAAAAAAAATATATGTATACTATATACAGTCAACCCTCACTTTACGCGGTCCCACATTCTACGTTTCCACGTTTACGCGGTGCCCTGCCAGAACCCAGGGTGCTCACATTCCGCGGTGGGTGTACCCCTTTACACGGTGAAGTATAATTATTTTTAATTTAGCTCATAAAATTCATACAAATTATCCGGCCAGAATATAATTTACATTGCTGGAATTCTTACAATTTGATGATCATTTTGAATATAAACATCATAGATTTTGCATTAGACATACAAATTTTAGATATAATGTTTACTCTTGAGTAAATATGTTATCTTTTGTGCAAAATATATGATATTTATATTCAAAATATTCCTGGTCTTACAAGGAATCCAGCAATGTCAATTATATTATCCTAACTTTAGTCTGATTTATTATTTATTACTAAAAAGGTAAACAGTCTGGTATTCCCACACATTTATCTAGTAGGGACGTTGGTGGGGGTGGGGGGGAGGGAGGGAGGGACCGGCGACCGACCATCTGTTACCGTGTGAAGAATATTTTTTTTTTATTAACTGAAGATTTTTATTTTAGCTCATAAAATTCATACAAATTACCCGGCCAGAATATAATTTACATTGCTGGAATTCTTACAATTTGGTGATCATTTTGAATATAAACATCATATATTTTGCATTAGACATAAAATTTTTAGATAAAATGTTTAATCTGAGTATGTTATCTTTTGTGCAAAATATATGACGTTTATATTCAAAATATTCCTGGTCTTACAAGGAATCCAGCAATGTCAATTATATTATCCTAACTTTAATCTGAGGTATTATTTAATACAAAATGTTAAAATCTAAATTTTTCACCCAACATCTCTTGAAGGGAGGATTGGTGGGGGGTGGGGGGGAGGGTTGGGACTGACCGCGCGGTTGGAAGAGGGGGGGAGGCAAGGTGGGGTACT